GGTGTGGGGCTAGTCCCCGTGTCCAGCGCTGGCCTCCCTTGGGCACTGTGACTTGTTGCTCGGCTGGGGCGAGTGGCCCTCATGAGCCCTGTCCCCGGCGGCTCGAGCCCCGACAGGGGACGTGGGTTTTCATCCCGCTGCAGCGATTCCAGGCTCCCTCTTGTGTCTGAAGGGTCTCGGTCCAGTCCATCTGTCCCATCGTCCAGGCTGAGGCCTGAGGGAAACTCACACCATCCTGGCGCATCTCCCCACTCCTGTCCCTGCTTTGCTGTCCCTTTTGGAGTGCTTCCCCGTCCCCCGGAGCACAGAGGAGAACGAAGCTCCTGGCCTCACTAGAGTGACAATAAATGGATAAATAAGTAAATCTCCTGCTAAGGGCATCGACACCAGGGCTTTCTGGTGCTTTGCTCTGCGCTGCACTCATCCACAGTGCCCAGGAGGTTCTCTGCCCATGCCCAGGGCAGTGACCATGGGGAGTCCTGGGAGCTGCTCACAGCTGCACTGAGTCACTGCCTTGGGATACTGCCCCTGGATGCAGATGCAGGGGTGCGTGACAGCAGTGCCCCAGCACTGCTGGGCCACCAGGACTGCCCAGATAGCCATGGGCCTTGCCCTCTGCACTGCAACCTGAACACCCTGTGCTCAGGCCTGCCCTGGCCAGGACTGCAGCATCACCTGCAACGTGCGCGCCGCATGCCCCTAGCTGCACTCGGCCAGCTCAGGCTTCTTGCACTGCAAGGCATGGCACTGCAACACAGCATTGCATAGCATAGCACTGCGCTGCCCTGCAGAGCACTGCGGAGCACAGCGTAGTGCTGCACACCATCCCTGTGCTACGCTGCACTGCACAGCACCACGCAGCCCAATACTGCATTGCACAGCACTGCACCAGGCCAGCAACTGCATGGCACTGTAGGCAATGTCACGGCACTGCACCAGACTGCACTGCACAGCCCAGCACTATATCAACAGTGCATTGCGCTGCGCTGCACTGCACACCCCCGCACCACATCAACATTGCAGTGCACTGTGCTGCACACCCCAGCACCATATCAACAGTGCAGTGCCCCGAGCTGCACTGCCCAGCCCAGCACCACATCAACATTGCAGTGCACT